CAAATTCACTTTTGCAAAACCAAACTCTGCGTGGGACCCGCCACCGGGCGGGTGCTGCGATGTGAGGCGCTCACAAGCCACCTGCAAAGGCAGAAGGAGGATGGAAAAAGCATCTTCCTGGTGTTTTCCGAGTCGCGCCGATGCAGGCGGCTGGTCTGGGCGCAAGGAGAAAGGGTGCTGGGGAGAAAATCGACACCGATCCCCCTCTGTGAAATGGCTTCTCCTGAAGCTGGCTGCTGTTCAGCTCGCTCTCTGTGCGCTGGCAGAGAAAGCCTGATTTCTTTCTAAAGACGGCTGCCCGCTAATCCGGCAGCGGATCATGTCTGAGAGCCGCTCAGGGAGGGACAGACACCTTTGTGATTTAAGAAAAAAATTTAAACAATGAATATCTCTGCTTGTTTCTCATTCACATGTCGTTTTTCCTTGTCTGCTACAGCAGACCTTGGCTGCAGCCAGGTGCTCCTGGGGCATCAGGGCCGTTTTTCAGCTCTCCCCATCATTTTGCATCTTCCCCCCGTAAAAACACCAGGGTGGGTGCAACGCAGGCAAAGCTGGGACTATCTCTCCAGCTGCAAATTTTTGGACAGGAGTTGTTAGGTGCCATCCTAGAGGTGTTTTCAGCTTGGCTTTGCAAGCAGGTTGCGGTCTGAGGGGAAAAAGGGCAGGTTTCTCTTCCAGCTTTTGCTGTGCTGAGGCAGAGTGCTGCAGGCAGCGGGACACACTGGGCTGGCTGCCGTTGCCTGCCTGCTGTCCCTGAGGAATTGAGACAGGATTTGGGGCTGAAATGTGGGATTTTGGGGCGCTGCCCTCTGTTGCAGGACGGGTTTGCACAGGGGTGCGGCGGGCTCGGGTAAGCAGAGCGTGCCCAGGCACACTTTATGCAACTGGAGGCTGGTTTTGCTGATTTTGGTGCACGCTCCGTTTTGGAGCTGTTTATGCCACTGAGTGGCAAAGAGTTAATTTCTCTGCTTGCTTACAGACTGCTTTTTGGCCCTCATATCTCTGTCTAATTAAATACATGTCTACAAATAATTATATGGGGGTGTGTGGAGGGGATATATAAAAATATATATCCTGGGCTGGCAATTAGCTTTTGGGCTTTTGGATCAATGAATGAGAGAGTGGTTGAGGGTGGAGGGGACCTTGGAGATTGATCGGACCCCCTGCTCAAGCAGGGTCCCCTCGAGTTGGGTGCCCGTGAACTCTGGATCGTTTACCTCCAACACTGCATTCCTTCAGAGTGAAATTTCCAAGGGGATTTTTTTAAAAAATTGAGGTCATTTGCTGTTTGTTGTGGCTGTGTGTGGAGCCAGGACCTGCTCCCTGGGAGATCCCTGGCGGCTCCAGCGCAGCCCTGCAAATGCTGATTTGGAGGTGCAGGGCTAAAACCCACCGGTGGCTCTGCTGATGTGGGAGAGGGGATGGAAGGGATGCTCTTGGCAGCCTGTGTTGTGGCTGCCGGCTCAGGCGCTCCTGGAATCCCCCTGCCCTGTGGAAAGGGAACAGGCAGATGGGAAACTTCCCACAATCTGGAGACTTTGGAGGGGGGTCATTTGTCATTGATTTATTGGTGGCTTTAAGGAAAATAATCTGCTAGTGCAGAAGCTTAATACAACAACAGCAAAACATCTGCGAACGAGCAAAGCCAAACCCTGAATGAATTGTGAAAGCTGCTGCCTCTGCTGGGGCGTGCACCCAACCTGGGCTGCCCAGGCTGTGGCCACCAAAATGGCATCATCATCTGGTGGACTCCTTGTTAGCTAGAGAAGCTTGTTAGCTAGAGAAGCATTTAAGATGATGGGTATTGGTTTAAAATAGCACAAAGCTCAACGCGATGTTTTATTTCCTTTTTAAAACAAGCAGCCGAAGCACCCGGGAGGAGTACAGCACCGGTTGGGTTTTATTCGTTTTATCAGTGGCCCGTAGGAAACCAGCTGTGACGAAGAAACAGCACGGCTGCTGGTGACAGGGAATTAATTTTCTTCTCTGTCCTGTGTCCTTTAGCTTGATTTCTTTTGGTTTTTTGATGTTAGTTATAACACTGAGAAAATTCAGTCCTGGCAAATGAGACCCAGGAGAGAAGCCTGGTGTTGGTCTGTATTTGTGAAAGGCAGCGGCTGCCCGTGAGACAGCCCACAGAGGGACCGGGGAGGCGCAGAAGGACCGGGGACATGCAGAGGGAAGTGGGGGGATGCTGTGTTTATTTGCATCAGTTACAGAGGGTGCGCTCCAAACTGGGTTTTGGCGGAGGTGAGGGGAGCATTTCCACCTTCCCCATGAGTCAGGACCTGAGAGACCCGTTTCTCTGCGGGTCTGCGGCGTTGCACGTGAATTCAGGTGCAGAGCCCCGCGCGCGCGCACCGGACAGCTTTTGGGAAGAGCTGCTGTGCTGGGCTGTGAGCAGAGTCGTGTGGGACCCTGCACACCAGGGAAGAGCTGGGGCTTTGCTCTGCTCGGGGCTGGGCTGTGTGAGCACGAGATGGGCTTTTCCCAAGGAGTTACGTGTCGGTGGCCACAGTGTCCCGCGTGCCGCCCCGGGAGGGGCGGTTCCTATCCGAAAACAAAGCCAGAGAGCCCCTCCGCTGCCGCAGAGCCCGGTCTCCTGCCTTTGTTGCCTTGCCTTTGCTCTGGATTTTTTTTCCCAGCTGGATGGGTGGGGAGGTGCAGCCACTTTCGGGAATCCTCCCCAGGGAGGGATGGTGAGGGATGTTGTCTCTTGCTCTATGAGAGCAGCGATGGTCCCTTTGGCCGAGGAAGTCCTAGCCTGTCACCCCACCGTGCTGCCCCGCGGCAGGGTTTCCACCTGCAAGCTTGTCCCCTTGGGAATGCAGCGGTGGCACGTGGCTGAGCAGCCCCATCCTGTCACGGCATGCATCCCGGGCAGCCCCCAAGCTGTGTGGCACCCACGCCTTCAGGGACAGCCCCATAGGCACCCCATAGGGTGCGGAGCTGGGGCAAACCCCTCTAATCCTGCTGTCTGCTCTCTTCTCTTTAGGAGCCCGGTCCTGCTAAGATGGCCGTGACCAGCAGCAGCATCCCCAGTGCGGAGAAGGTCCCTGCCACCAAGTCCACGCTTTGGCAGGAAGAAATGAGGGGCAAAGACCAAGCGGATGGGGGCAGCGGCATCAGCCCAGCACAGAGCCCGGTGCAAGGCCAGGCCGGGGCTGCCAGCTCCCTGAAGGATCCCGTGCTGGACAGCAAGGAAGGTGAGGGATGGGGCTGCCAGCACTGATGTGACACTGCAGTGACCCACTTTGTGTAGCTGAGCTGGCAGAAAACCACCATAGAGGGAAAAGTTTTCCTTGGGTTTGGTTCCTGTAGCATCCCAGCAAGGAGAGGGAAGCAGACCTGATCCCTGCTGTGTGGGGACCAGAGTAAGGTGTTACGGGCTGGGTTTCAGGAGGGAAAAATATAGCATCACGTGCTGGAAAATCACAGCATGGGGCTCAGTCCTGCCCCACCAGGGAAACGGGGCTCCCTGCCCTCGCAGGTGACGTTACCCTCATGCTGGGGGCAAAATGAGGGGGAAAATGCGTTTTCTAGCCCCTCCACATCCCCTCCTGGGGCACCCGGAGGGCGCGGGGCCACGCTGCTCTCAGCCTGGCTGTCAGGGCTGCCAAGCCCCGAGCGTCGCTTCCTCCGCCGGCCCTTGCGTCAGGGCCCTTTTGACGTTTGGTGTCCCCGATGAGTCCCTGGAAGGCGCCGGGGCTGCAGCATTGTTCTCCCTGAAACAATAAGGGCTGGGGACTCTTCCTGCTGGGGCTGTGGACAGGTCCCCTGCGCTGCGGCCGTTTCCTTTATCTGCTCGCTCGGCGGCGGGGGGAGGATGCTTTCCGCCCGCTCCCAGCTGCCAGGAGCGAGGTGTCCATCGCTTTCCGCCCACGGCGCTGTGGTCGATGCCGGGCTGGGCGGGACAGGGATGGAAATCGGTGCAGAGCAGTGGCTGCAGCTGTCCGTTGCTTGGGTTGAAGGTTTAGGTCTTTCAGCCATTTAAGCCCAAACCCAAGGGTTGGGCCAGCATCCCCAGTTCCCTGCAGGTCATCCCACTATCTCCGTGGGCATGAGGGGTTGTCAGGGTGGTAAAGCCAAGGCTGCAAGAGGTGGCATAGCGTGGAGCTGGGGCCCAGACTGTCTCTGCTGTCATTTTCTGCCCCGTCTTGGGTGGAATCGGGGTGGTTTTTGTTCAAAGCAGAACTCTTGACTTCAGACCAAGCTCGGTAACTTCTCTGTCCCTTAGATGAAAGCTCCATGAATGGAGACCGGATAGACTGTGGGCGGAAGACGCGTGTCGAGAGCGGGTACTTTTCCTTAGAGAAGACCAAGCAAGACTCGAAGCTGGAGGAGCAGCAGCTGCCGCCCCCACCGAGCCCACCCAGCCCCAGCACCCCAAACAACAGGTACAGTTATCCCAAATCGCCCTCGCAGGAGCATGCCCGGCCCTTTCCTTCCCCAGGTACCCGATCAGGCGACCGAATGATTCACAGCTTCTCTCTGAACTCCTTGGACTCGAAGAGCAGTTGCCCCATGCACAAGGACTCCGGCAGCAGAGATGTAGGAAGGGGACCTGAAAAATCGGGGCGTCCCCTTTCTTTTAAAGCCAGCCGGCAGTACACCACCCTGGCCGACGTTCCCAAGGCCGTTAGGATCAGTAATCGTGAGGCCTTCCAGGTGGAGAGGAAGCGGCTAGAGCGGAGAACCCGGGCCCGTAGCCCTGGGAGAGAAGAAGTGGCCCGGCTCTTTGGCCATGAGAGAAGGTAAGGGGTGAGTGGCTGATCTCCTTGCATGCTTGCAACGGCAGCAAGGCTGCATCCCCGATGGAGCAGGCGGTATTTGCCGGGTGAAGCCCCGTTGTATGACATCCTTTTAGGTTTCAGGACGCCCATCCACACCGACCATGGCCTTAGTAGTGCCAGCGGGCAGTTGTCACCCTGCCGGGCTGCTTTGAGGACGGCTGGCTGAGATGGGTGATGTTCGGTGGCCGTATTTGCAAGCAAGCCCACCCTCCCCGTCCCCTCCCTGGCGCGGCACACGCTGGCAGCTGGCACCAGTAATTAGGTTAGCTTTCTAAATGGTGTTAGTGCTGGGCGCGTTACGCAACTGCCTAATGAGCTGAGAGAGGTTTCAAAATGTCACAGCATTAATCTGGGAGAGGAGAGGCGGGTGCAGCGCTGAGGCAGGGCTGCAAAACAGCTCGGTGCGGAGGAGGACGAGGAGGGCATCCACACACGCGCCTGCCCCGCGCACCGGCGCGCTTGGTGCTCTCCGGGCGAGGCGAAGGGCGGGCTTGACTTGCCCTGGGAGAGACGTATTTGTGCAGTGAGGGCAGCAGAGCAAACCAGGAGACGGGCTCCGGGCGAGAGGGCCGCCTGCCAGTCTGATTTTCTTGCCCTGTTTTTCCTCTGGGCATGTTCTCTCTTGCACAGTTTCAGCAGGCGCTTCGCTGTTTCTTCCCAGCCCCTAAAGGACTGTTTTCCAGTCTGGCTTCCGAAAGCTGGGAGCGGGTCTGGGAAGGACGGCACAACTTTGTGCCAGTGCTGCCCGTCGGCTGGAGGATCCCAAACCCAGTGCAGCCCCGGCAGTGTGCACAGCGAGTGCTGGACTGGGAATAAAGGAGAAGGCTTTCCCTGCCTTAGGAATTGGGTCTTTCCCCAGGATGGAGGAGAAGGATGGCACACAGGTCCCTTGGCCATCCCAGCTGGGGACTGGGCTAAGGAAAGACTGGTGACTGCTGGTTTGCAGGCTGAACTGGTGCAGCGTGTCGGCCCAGGTGTGGGTGAGATCGTGTCCCTGCTGGGTTTGCCTGCACGGAACGCCTTGGCCAGCGCCTGTCCCCCATGCCAGAGGACAGCCTGTTCCTCCTCTGCAGTCCCCTACTTCAGCCCTGGGGGTATCGTGCAGCGCTGGGATCCGGCGTGGAGCTGGGATGTGCCAGGCGAGGACAGGGAGGAGCAGATTTACAGGCAGATAACAGGGCCCGGGAGAGGACGCTGCTGCCAGAGAGTGCTTTTTTAATGTCAGCCCCACTCATTGCCTGCTGGCGGGGGTGCCTTTTCCCAGGGAAAGTCTGTTTTTCCCAGCCCAGCTGGGCTTCTGGAGCTGTTACCAGGTTTTTACTGCTTTATCAGTATTGGCCAGAATTCCTCTGTGTCAGCTCAGGGCCTTTATCAGAGCAGGACGGGCTAAGGGAGAGGAGTAGGTGCTGCACCAGGCACAGAGATCTTGCTGCCCACGGGGCTGAGCCCGGTCCAGTATTTGGGAGGGGGATGATGACAGAGAGCAGGGCAAGGGGTCCCCACCTGCAGGAGGTGTTCGGCCGGGGATTGCAGCTCGTGGTGCCAGAGGAGCATGACGTGAGCAGGAGCGGCTCAGTGGGCAGTGTTTAGGGACAGGCATGTGTGCTTTCTCCTCTGGTAACCTGCGAATTGGCCCACGCCGGTGGCATGGGTGGAGAGGCCATGTCCCCGAGCTCAGGTGGACTCTGCAGGGCACAGAGAGGCAGTCCAGCATCACACCAGAGAATTAACATTCACCAGCACCCTGCTCAGCTTGGCTTGGCTGCTTTTTAAATTTGAGTTTACTTAGTCCACATATCCCTCTCATTTTTCTCCTCCAAGCTCAGTTTGAGCTTGAGCAAATACAATAACTCACTTCCATTCTGTGAGGTCCGGTTTTTTCCCCCCCTGGTTTAACACCGTTTCTAATAATCCATCTCAGTAACCCACTAACACATCTGGGATCGCTTGCCTGAAATCGCTTGCCCCCATGCCAACCCCATAGGTGCCAGCCGGGCGTCGTTCAGATCTGCCATTCATCTCTCAGTGCAGCCGAACAATCTTGCTCTGATTCTATTGGTATTTTGGGCTCTTCCTCCCGTTTATTTTTGTGTTTACCCACTGTAAATCAGTGTGAGTGTCAGAGCTATGGATGGAAAAGAATTATGTGAGGTATCCAGTGCTGCGTCCTGAGTGACACACCTTTAGGCTTAGCTCCAGATTTTTAAGGCTCCTTGTCCTCTTTCCTTATACGTTATTACGTGACTTAACTCTGGGACCGTGCTGGAAATTTTCCACGTTGACCATTTATACCTGATGCTGACTCCACGCCCCGTGCAGACGTCTGAGCTCGCAGCCGCTCGGAAACGTGAACCAGAAAAGAGGAGATAATCTCTATGATTTTGGCGGAGCGGCAGAGTGCGAGTTCCCTCTGCTGGCACGCAGCAGGACGGGGCTGCCAGCACCGTGCAGGGATGCCCAGCCAGGGCGGGGGAGAGACTCTGTGTCCAGAGCGGTCGAGCTGTGCCTCCGGTCTCCCATCTCAGACCCATCCCTAGGGAAAAAGAGCAAGGGCAGCTCTTTGGAAACCCCATGGATGAATCTCGAAGCCTGTTTTGCGCACAAAATCACAGCTGAAGGGGGCTGCAAGGACGTCCTCGGACATGGGTGCCTGTGTCCCAGCAGGGCGCTGCAGCTGCACGGATAAATCCTGGCACATCTCGGGAGGGTGCCAGCGGCTTTGGGAATGAGACCGCCATCAGATGGGGAGTCCTTGGGGTGCAGAGACCCGGAGCCTCTTCCTCTGGGTGTGTGGCTTCAGGCCCACCTGCCTCTTGCAGCTCCCTGGGAAGCATTGGGATTTCTGGTGGGCAAACTTGGCTTTTTTTGCACGCTTCCAGGGATGCAGCCTTTAAAACGGTGCCTGTCCCGATTGACCCCACGTTCTGCTCACACTGGCGAGAGTCCTCTGTAGCGCCTGCCAGATCTGCTGTAGGAGCCTGGTCAGGGGGCTGAGGCGTATTTCTAGCCTCGATAAATAGCAGAGCTGCCTGAAATCGCTTAAAAGACTTTTCTTTCTCAAATTCCTTCTCTGGAGCTTCTTGAGATGTAAGGCTCTTCGCTGAATGCTGCTTCTACCCGTAGAGAGGAGCGCCTGCTTTCCCAAGTATAGGGGTTTTTTTCATGTAAAACTATCCTCTTCATTTTTGTGGACCTTTTGGGGAAATTCCTCTTCCTTTTCTTGACACTCACTGTCTTTCTTGCTGCTAAATAATGAATGAATCCAATAAAAACAAGGCCTTTCTTCCAATCAAAGAAAATCACTTTAGTGATAGCTCGTGCTGGTTTTTATAGCTTTTCTTTCCACTGCACACACCCCTCCACCTAACAGCCGAGATCTGCAGCTCAGGTTTAGTGGCCTGGAAAAGATTAACAGCCTGCATGGCCGAGGAACTCCTTGGGATGAGCTTTGTAGTTGAGAAAGCACTAAATGGCACCGCAGCTTTTAAAAACGCTTCTTCGTACCTGTCCGCAGCCTTGTTTTGTCAACACGGAGCTGCTGTTCAGAGGGAGCAGCGCTCTCCTCAGCACGCTGGGGAGGAGAGGCCATTCCCTCCCCATTCCCCCAGGGTAACCTCTCTGAAATGTTGAGCTAATGGGAAAAAAAACCCAATTCTTTCCTGTAATCCGGATGATATTAACCCTTGGGGCTGTGATTTGGTTGCAGTGATTTATTTTTCTTCTCCCTTTTTCAATGACGAATTACTGGAATGATTTTGATTTTGTTTTGTATGTAGATGCAGATATATAATTTCCTCTTCTGTTCATTCATTTTCCAGCCTTGTTTTCTTCCAGGTCTTGTTGCTCTCCACCTTCTCCTGCTGTGTTGCTGTGTGACGTGTCCGCCTTTACTTCGCCTGCTTCGCTACCATCTCATCTCAATCTCAAGCCGTAGAACAACCTGGTGGTGCAGCCCCTTTCATGAGAAATCAACCTGCTTTTGATTTTGTTTTATGGTTTTCGGTTGGGTTGTTTGGTTTTTGTTTTTTTTTTTTTCTCCTGATTTGTTTTTCTTCAGGCCTTCACCTAATAGGGCACAGACAATGTTAATTCATGGGCCTCTTCCTCCCTCCTAAACTGAGACTCAGAGAAGGCTGGGCCAGTGTGAAAAGGGTTAAAAAATGGTGACTCCAAAACAGCAGTTCCCCGTCTGTTGGTGAACTGGGGACGTGGATTTACGCTCTGCAGGCTGGCTTATGTGAACGGACATCTCGTGAGCAGAACATCCCAGGGGGACTGGGAGCTCTGCACGGGCCCGGGATCTGCCCCCTCCCAGTCTGCAAACTGGGAGGCAGCAGGGGCCGAACAGATGTCCTGTAAAAATATCAGAGACGGATGGATTTACAAAGCAAGGTCTTCCTCACTGGTTTTGTCCCTTCCTCTTTGGTTGCGGGCTTCAGCACCCAGTCCTGGCCGCCTGGCTCTGAGCAGCAGTGGGGGGCCCCCAGCCCGCTGGGGGATGGGATGTGCTCGGACTGTTCATCTCATTTATGGAATTCGGTGCAAATGTTGGTTGAAAACTGAATTTCTCATGTTTTTTGAGTTCTTAACCTGCTGTTCCTTTTTGTGGGAAGTGTTAAAAATGGGTTTTTGGCTAACCTGTTTCCCCTTACCTGGTTGCTGATTGTGATTTTTCATGCACATTAGAGGTTCACACAGAGCAAACAGCCCCGGGTTTAGATGCAGGATACGTGGGTCCAAATTTTGTGTCAAGAACCCACCTGGATTGAGCTTTCTGGGGAGGTTCGAAACTGAGCTTTAAACCTCACAGCTTGGAGCTCAGCTGGCATGTGTGTTGGTGGTGGGTTATTGCTTCACGTTCCCGAGCTGTGAATAAAGACCTGAGGCTGATACTTGCCCAAACCCCTGGGCATGCAAACTTAGACACCAGGAGGTCCTTTGAAAATTCCAGTATTCCCTCTCCTGTGGGTCAGCGAGCAGCTTTTCATGCTGAAGTGACACTTTTGATTCCACCTGCAAAGGCCTGTTGTTTGCTCATTCTTAGGAGCATCCCATTTGGGGTTGGTCTGGGGTTGGCTCCTGCTCCGTCCACATTTCTTCGTAGTTCTCCTCCGTCCTCAGAGACATGTGTGCCACGGTGTGGTGGCCCACCGAGGCGCTGTCTGAGAGCCCAAGTTGTGCTCCCTGCTGTCCATACCGGATTTGTGGAGCAGTTTGAGAGGAGGGTAGAGCCCCAGGGATGCAGGGGATGCCCTGCTGTGCCTGCACAGGGTGCTCCTCGGCTCCTCATGCCTCTTCAGCTCGCGCACCCCGCGAGCCAGACCCGTTGCCTGGAGGCACCTACAGACACTCCTCACTCAGTGCAGTCCTGCAGACGTAACCCATGTGGGGCTGAGTTTTTACAGGGTGTCTGTTGCAGTGAACACACAGGGTGACCCGCAGCCACCTGTTATTTCTGCCCCCCAGCTTGGTCTGATACGTCTCTGCTCTGTGGCCTGGGGGGCCGTTGATAGCTGCAGTGCTAGAGAGTAAAGGCAAAGCGTAAACCAAAGCTGCTCAATAATCCCTGCTTGTCAAAGGGCTGCAAAATGTACAAGTAAAAAGTTACTGCTGATTTTGCAAAGGTATTTCTAGATATTTAAGAAGGTACTATACGTGGAGCTGAGTAGCGTGAGGTTTTTTCCCCCACTTTGGCCACGGGTAAAATGGTGCATGTCAGATCGGGGCGTTTTGCCCTGGATTTGTGCACGCTAGAGCTTGCAGAGAAGCAGGGACCAAAAGCCAGGTGTGCATGAACACTGGGGTCGAGCAATTCCGCAACCTTAAATTTGTGGGCTTGTACAGCTCAGCGCCGTTGCTGTACTTGTGTTTAAACCGGCTCTGGTTTCCCCTTTCTCTCTGTTTTCCAGGCGATCCCAGGTAATTGAAAAATTTGAGGCATTAGATATTGAGAACGCGGAGCACATGGAAACGAATGTGTCGGCCGGTGCTGCCCTTTCCAGTGAGACGCGGCAGGGCAGGAGTGAGAAGAGGGTTTTCCCGCGGAAAAGGGTAAGCTGCTCGGCCGAGGTCTCCTGGTGGGGTTTGGAGGATGGCACCTGGGATCTGCCAGCCCAGGACAGAGGGTTTAGCTCTTGAGTTTAGCTCTAGGGTTTGTCCCTGGGTGGAGCAGGGGATCTGGAGTCGCAGGCAGGCTCGTGCAGGAGCCAAACCGCTGGGTGTGCTCGGTCTGTGCAGGTTTGCTGCTCGCTGCTCTGCTCCCTTGGCCCAGCTGCAGATCAGAGCAGAAAATGAGGCTGTCTTTTCTCCTTGCTCCCAAATAGAAAGAAGGAAACTTCTGGTGTGGCGGGATACATCAGGACGGGGTGAAGTAACAAAAGAAACAGGCAGTCTTGAGAGTCCCAGATACAGTTAGATGTATTTGGAACAAGTTAATGCCTGAGAGGACAAAAAAAAATGTGTTGCCAATTAAATGACACTTGTCCTGAGCCTGAGCTGCCCCTTAAATACGCGGATTTTTATGCCGTGAGCCAGGAGAGTGGGACTCACCGTCCTAGTTCCTGCGCTGATCTGGGCTAATGCTGTTTACACAGGACTTCGCTTGCGAAGGTGCAGCGGTGGGCTCCATCCTGGATGTGTCTGCGTCTCCTCTGTCCCCGCATCGCCGGGCAAAGTCCCTGGACAGAAGGTCCACCGAGTCCTCTATGACGGTGAGCCACCGGGGCCGTGTCCTCTGCCTTGGGGGAGGACGTGAGAGGCTTTTCCCAGGCAGGTCCAGTGGAAACTGGACTGGCTGCTGCTTTCCCCGTAGCCAGCACGTAGGACATAGGATATGCTCGAGTTTGGAACAGGTTTCAGTGATGTGGCTTCACGCTTCACACGTGGTGTGTGAAAGAGAACCAACACAAGGCCTGGTTTTCTAATGCCGCTTCCTTGATGTTTATGCAGTGGGAAGTGGGTGTGAGTGGGACGAAGGCTGTGAGGAAGGGCTGAACCTGCCCTCCTGAGCTTTCCTGCCTTTGCGTATTTCAAATGCTTACCAGACCTGGAGGCAAACAGTACAGAACAAACACAAAGTGCTCTCCTCTCACTCACCAGCCTTCTGTAGGAGCAAAATAAATACACTTGCTAATCTCTCAGAAAGATTACACAGTCATTGTAAATATGAGCTGCATTTTTTGTGGATGGACAGCTTCTGTTGAAGGACTTCTCGGAAAAATGTAGTAGCTTGGCGTTTGTGTAGTAGCTTTTCATGTGGACTTGTACAGCCACGAGAGTGATTTTTAAATTCTTGGTGGTAATAAAAAGGTGCAAGAATGGCAATGGCACATCAGTTCGTGCAAGCAAGAAGATCATGCAGTCAGTGGGAAGAAAACCTTCTCGTATTAAGTACGCCTTTATTGTGCCACTCCTGCTATAAAAGCAGCAACGTAAGACAAACCTGCACGCCTGCTGGCTTGCAGCCATGATTGCGAGACTCTCCCCTGCCTGTCGAGTTCACTGTGTCAGATCAGATCAGGTATCCGTCAGGAAAAAGCCGAGGGAGAGTTCATCCCTTGTTAGGCTCAGTGGGTTACAGCAGAGCTGTGGCTTGCGCTGCGTGGGTATCTCCTTCCATCAAGTGCTTCGGCTGGTTTTGGTTTCTAATGTCTACACCCTTCAGCGGCAGCTGGACCCAAACTTTTCATGCTTCAGCAGCTTTGCAGCTTCAGGCAAAGCCTGCACTCTCCTGCCTGCCCGAGCACTCAAGAGGAGAGCAAAGGGGGTTTCTGTGGAGGAGCGGGACCCGCAGGAGAAACCTTCCTGCTTCGGGTGCTTCTGTAGTGTCTCGCTGCAGCCCGGTCGTGGCATATACTGTTTATCAGCATCTGGCTGCTTCTACACCTTTGCTTAAATTTTAAGGAAGCTGAAGAGGGTAGTAAAGTAGTATGAATGCTGCTAAGGAGGGATTTACCTGCTTTTGCGGAAGATTCTTGCCCTCTGCTCCTTCACAGCTGATAAATAACAAGCCCGTGAGCAACTGTGACCCTCTCGGTCCTTCTATTTTCCTTCTCTGCAAAGTGCGTGGTTGGGAGCTGGTTTTTTTTGATCCAAAATGTAGATCCTTTGCTCGATGCTCTCCTGTTGTACAAGAAGGAGCTTAAACAGGACCCCGATCCTGGAAGCACGATCCCACCTGCACTTCAGCAGAGGAGAAGCAGGCAGGGGTGCTATCGCTCTCTGAGGGTACGTTAGGGCTGAGATGAGGCTGCCCAGCTCTCATAGCCTGCTTCAGAGATGGAAATTGCAAATGTGATTTTCTTTATCGTTGGTCTGTGGCTTATCGCTGCCTCATCAGCAGGTCCTGCTGAGGCTCAGCGGGTTTATTGCCTGCAGCCACCTCACAGCCAGGGCTGTGCAGGCCGGTGTCTGCCCGCTCCTTCTTCCAATCCTCTAGGGATTCGGGAAGGGCAAGGTAGCATTTACTTTCCCCTGTGTTTTTCTGGAGCGGGGGCTGGGTTCCTGCCACCATGGGAGCACCCGAATGTAGAATGTGCATGGGTTTGATGGAAGAGGGCTTCCAGACCCCAGTTTTCCGTTGCTCCCCTTGCTGTAGCCTGTTTCAGACCCTACAGCTGCGTTTCACACACGGCTGTCCTTTCCTCCTCCGCTCTGCAGCACATGGAGCAGCTGGAGGAGCTCAGCCTCGAGGGAGCGAAAGCATTTCCACCACATCCTTCCCCGCGCGCGGGCAGGGCTGGGAGGAGGGGCTGGCAGGAATTATCCCACGCTGTCTTGGTTGCTTTTCTCAGAGCTTCAGCATCCCGATGCACCCACTTTGGAGGAACGAGCAGGTGTCGTTCGGGTGGTGCAGTGCTGGGATTCCCTGTATTCCCAGCCTTGGGAACTCAGCCTTGTTTTGAACCCTGCAGCCTTGCATCAATAGCACATAGTTTGTCCTTCGGGATATGTAATAGAGGGACAAAACTGCCTGTGGTCTTGCTAATTCCTTGCTTCTCCTCTCTCTGTTATGATGGTGTAGCGGTAGGAAGTTGCAGGAGAAGTGCTAGGAAGGGGACAGCCTGAATAAACCATACAGCAGGTCTCTGTTCCTCCTGGGAGCAAACATTTAGCCACCGTGCAGTATAATGATCCAGTTTGGACTAGAGGACCTTCAAAGGTCGCTTCCAACCCAAACTATTCTATGATTCTATGAATTTAACTGTTGCTGGTCTCTTTTATTGCTGCTTTGTGTTTTATCAAGCCACTGATGTTGCCTTCTGCGTGCAGACGCTTCTCCCCTCTGATCTCCTACCTCCTTTCTTGCAGCCCGACCTGCTGAATTTCAAAAAGGGCTGGTTGACAAAGCAGTACGAGGACGGGCAGGTGAGTCCAGGGGAAGCTCTGCCCTTCGTGTTGGTCTTCGGTGCTGTGGTCGGTCCGGGTTTCTGGCAGGCTGCACATGGGGCTGCTCTCGGCGCTGATGAAGCCCCCCGTGTCCTTGCAGGGCAGATCCGTACTGGGCCGCGCTCCAGACGGGAGAAACCAAGGGTAGGTGCTTGGGCAGAGCAGCAACGGGGTATTTGTACAACTCTGGAGCCAGGCAGCAGTGGTTGTGTGCAAGGCCTGTGCAAATGGTGTTTGTCTTGGAGCAGGAATAGCTGGGGCTGTGGCCTGGGGACGTTTCAAAGCCCCACAGCTGGATATCATGTCGTGGGTTTCTAGGGAGGTGGGGCAGCTTGGGTAGCAGCACTGGTTTTGTGTTCCCATTCTCTTATTAGTCTCATCTCCCTTGCGACCCAGCAACCTCTTTGGCGTCAGTCATGAGGCTCAGATAAAGTCTCCTGAGTGCCGGGAAAATGGCAAGACCGAGAAATAAGTGCATGCCTCTGAGTTGGCACTGAGGGAAGCAGCCACTGCCGCTTTCCTCCTGTCCCTTCCTAGAGATGTGGGATGTGCTGCTCTACTGGAGCCTTAGAAACTGGCACTGATGCCGAGGCAGCGTGGATGCCCTGGCTGTTTGCAGACTGCCCCTTCCCTGGCTTTCCTTCCCTCCTGAGGGAAAATGAGGGTGACTTGCCCACGGCTGTGAGCGCCATGGCCCGCGCTCTGCTGCGGGTACCCACTGGTGCGCTGGGCCCTGGGGCCAGGGGCATGTCTGTAGGCAGCTGGAGGGGTTTCAGCTGCTGGAACGAGTGCTTTGTTAACTGAAAACTGCCTTGGGTAAGCCCGTGCCTCACTGGGAGCGTGCAGAAGGCGTATTTGTATAGAGCAAGGAGTGGGAATAGGCTCCAGCTCAATTTGTAGGTACTGCAGATAAAACATGAATGTTTTACTACTTTTTTTTTTTTTTAAATGGTCCCTCCAAGGCTTTAAGTACAGCCACTAAAAGCATCATCTTGCCAGCGGAGCTCATGGGAAGGCTCTGACTGCCCCCACGGCTCTCGCAGTGTTTCACCATCTCACGCAGGTTTGGTGCCGCTGAGGATCCAGCGATCCGCCAGTGCAGCAGCACTGGGGAAGTCGGGGGGTCCTGGCGGTGCAAACCACTGTGGTGTCCCTTACGTTGCTGCCTGTTTGGGTCTCCCCTTTCCCTTGGTGTAGCCAGGTGCGGAGCTGGGAGGGGAGAGGCTGTGAGCTGCCTCCCTGCGGGGCGTCTCTGCCGGCCGACCTGTGACGAGCTGCCCAGGGGGGCAGGAGCAGGGTTGTAACTGCCCCGTCTTGATTGTTTCCTAGTGGAAGAAGCACTGGTTTGTGCTGACCGACCAGAGCCTGAGATACTACCGGGATTCAGTGGCGGAGGAGGTAAGTGTCTTCCCCATCGGCGTTCAACCCGTCGCTCTGCACCCAGGGAAGCCCCCGGCGCTCCCAAACTGACCCCGGGCAGGTTGTCTTCCCCGATGCTGAGGTCCTGGAGCATCACTCTTCAGGGCTTTGTGCTTCTCGAGGGCCTGCCATGCCTCCCTGCCAGCCCACCGTGCTTTGGGATTGCAAAGCATGACAGCTTGTTGTACCTCTTCCCTCTCCAGGCAGCTGACCTGGATGGAGAAATCGATTTATCCACGTGCTACGATGTTACTGAGTACCCGGTTCAGCGAAACTACGGCTTCCAGATCCACGTAAGGAAAATGTGGGGAGGAGGAAGAGTCTGGCTGCAGGACCGCCAATGGGGCTGCTCGTGCTGTGCCGCTGCTTGGGGATGCTCGTCCGTGGCAAGGAAAACATCTCCGCAGGCACCCGGCATCCCTCACGGTGCTCCAGAGAGCTCTGGCCTTGGGTTTGAGAGCCAGTTTTTTGGTTCACAAAAAAATGGAGGGGAAAGGGGAAGGTTTTGTCTCAGCCTTAGGGTCTCAGCTACAGCAAAACTAGCCTGATTGCTGAGAAATGCTAATTCCCATCGTGAGCGTGATGGGGAATGGAGGGGGTTGGGTGCGACCTCCGCGTGGCTGGCGAGCAGTGCCCCAGCGCTGGGTGCTCAGGGCCGGGTGCGGGGTGATGGTGGGAGGGGTGGGAAGGTGATGGTGGGTGCAATCAGCTGCTCTGAGCCCGTCCTCCTCTCTCCCTAGACGAAGGAAGGGGAGTTCACCCTCTCTGCCATGACGTCGGGCATTCGCCGCAACTGGATCCAGACCATCATGAAGCACGTTCGCCCCACCACGGCTCCCGATGTAACAAGGTAAAGGGGGGAGTTTAGCAGCCCCTGTAGTTGTCCGGTTTGTTGTGCAGGAGTAACTCTTCCCTTATCCCCTTTCTTTCATCTTTCCGAGCCTGTCCGTTCCTGGAAGCTGCGGCTCTTTCTTGCATCCCTCTCTCTGGGCTTAGTTTGGTTATGCTTTGTGGGGATGCTGATATACTGAGTTACTCTTACGCGTGCAGATTTCAAAGAGGGTTGAAAATGTGGCTTTAATTTGTGCATAGGAATATGAAATACTGTTCCTATATCAAGGCTCCTCTGGATTCCCACCAGGTATTGTGAAACCACTTGGATTCAGTTGTGCTGGGTTCCCCCTTTCCTCTGGCTACTGTTCAGCACGAGCTGCCCATCCCCTCCGCGGGTCACGGCAGCACGAGCCCAGGGTTCAATTTAGAAGCTGTTTGGCTCTGATATATATTAAACTCCAGCCAGCAAATCATCTTCCTTCCTTTTTTGATCTTCCAGATAGCTGCTGCAGCTCATTCCCCTTAACCGTTAGTAATGCTCGCCTCTCCTCCTGCCGTCAGTGCCAGAGGAAGGGACCCCTCCGCTTCACAGAGTACCTTCTGTGAGCGCTTACGGCTGCGGGTAAAGGGTGTTTGACCTCCTCACAGCTAACCGCGCCAGCCACACTTGTACTGGCCACCTCTTACAGGCTTCGTGGACACGGTCGCACCATTAACTCCATCTCCTGTCCTTAACGTAGCTGCAGCGAGCAGGTTTTCGCCAGGTTTGTCCCCACATGGATGGAATGGCTCTTCTCACCCAGTGCTGTTGACCTGGAGATGCTCCAGCCTCTCGTTCCCCGTCCCGCTTGGCACTTGGCCACCATTTCCCAGCCCTGCCCGAGCTCTGGTGGATCTCGCGGGGGTCTCGGGGGAGCCGCCTCTCTCCTCACTCCTGTGTATGTTTGATTTCCATGCAATCCCAGGAAAAACTTCTCTTTGAAACTATCCGTGCTGAAGCCCAGGTTGGAAAACTGTGTTCTCTCCTGTATTAACGTTTTGTGGTTTGTATATCTCGTGATTCACTGCATGCTCCTCCTTTTCTGCACCTCGGATGGGAAGGCCTGCAGTTTCCATTTATTTTTCTTTCTTTTCTTTTCTTTTTTTTTTTTTTTTCCCCCCTCCTTTTTTCTTTAAACAAAAGCCAGAGAGAAGGGAAGAAGCAACCTGGTCTTGACACTTGATTTCCCCACACTGGTATCTTCCGATGTGACTAGATGTGAAGATGAAGACCAAGGAAATTTGAGGGGACCTCTCTGCCTTTAAAGAGCCAGATATATTTATAGCCTAACAGGTTACTGCAGCACAGCAGTCCTGTGTTTCGCTGCCTTTGCATCTGCTCCAAGCCCACATGAAGTGGTTTGACTTGGCTTACCCTCGTGAGAGGGTCCAAGCGCAGGTACCAGTCGGGCAGTAACTTGTTACGCTGCATAACTAGGCTGTGAATCTCGGTCCTGAGCTGGGGAAAAGGGAATGACAGGCGCCCTTCTGTCGTTGGCCACTGAGCTGGTTTCGGGTGGGGTAGAGCCTGGCGTGGGTTAGTCACGTTGCTGAGAGGTCGTTGCTGTGAGCTGAAGGGCTGCGCCGTGCATGCGGCAGGGCTGTGTTCACCGGTGCCCGCTTGCAAGCCCTTGGCCGCGGCGCGGGGTATCCCAGCCCATCCCGCCCGGCTTTGGGCACGTCGTTAACATCCACACCCGGGGAGCGGCTTGTGGACGGGGCTGCCGGAGAGCCGAAGGACGGACTGCCAAAGGCTCGCGACGGAGGGGTGGCAAAGGTCTGCGCAGCGCACCTGGGGCGCGAGAGGGACGTTGGTCGGGGTGTTCGGCTGTGCCGGGAGGGCGGCGGTGTTCACCCCGTCCCCCGGGGCCGGTTGGGCTCGGCGCGCTCCTGCAGCCCTCTGCCGCGTCTCGTTAACCCGCTGCCATGCCTCCACCGAGCCAAACACACGTTTTCTCGGTTACTCAAGTCCTAATTACTGTTTATATTGCTGCATGTGTCAGCACCTCGGGAGGGGGGCAGGTGCTGCGCTGCTCCCTGCCCTCAGCAGTGCCCTGCAGTCTGCAGAGACACTAATTACGCTCTGCTAACGATGACTATGCAGATACAAAACACCCACAAGAAAGAAGGTGGCCGCTTCAGCTCTGGGTCCTTGTTCAGTTCATAGCCCCGGTGAGCTTGAGCTCCCCAGCGCTCCCCCAGTTCCCTGCAGCTTTCCTGTGCTTCTTGCACGCTGCCGCAGTGTGCTCGGCTCGCCGCTTGCACCGCTCTCCCAGCCACCCCTATTAAAAAAAAAAACCCACACTTTTTGTTTTGACCTATAAATACCATTTTGAGGCAAAGACACCCCCCGCCCCCACGTGATGTGAATTAATTTGTCTGGGATGGAGGAGACGTGAAATGCTTGAGCAGAATTAATAGCCGTGGGGCGCTTGTGGGAGATGAAATGAGAAACTTTGGGTCAGTCTTCTTGAGTCTCTTAACTCAGTTCCCAGCGGCCGTCCCTCTGCTCCCTGACACACATCCCGTGCCCTTTGGAAAGCAGCAAAGGAGAAATGAGCATGTCACCTCTAGAAATGTTGAGATTCTTCCATGTGGTATTTAGAGCAGCATAACTGCTGTCTCTCGACACGTCCGAGGGGCCTCAGGACCCCCTTTTTTCCTAGTGCTCCTCTCCATTTTAAGACTCCATCTCATCCCCGCTTTAGTTATTGAAAATACAGCTGTAATCACTAACTGGCTCCAGATTGAGTGCCTGGCTTTGGAGTCATGCAATATCTTCTAATGGTCGAGGAGCGAGGAGGTTTCCTCCTGGTGCCTTTTGGATTTATTTTATTAGCTGCAAGTGACAGAGCTGACGAAGGAATTATCTCTGAGCTGCTTTTAGTCTGTAGCTGCCAGAGTTTCTTGAAACGCAGCTCTACTGAGCCTGTGGTTTGATCCTGGATGAAAGTGCATCGGAAGATACTAGCCCTGGACCCATGCAGAGTCATCTCTTCTGCTCCATTCTTTGTTTTGGGCGTATGCACATACATGAGGTTGTTGGCTGCGGGAGCTGGGGTGTGTTACCAAGGCAGGAGGAGAAGCCGTGCTGCTGCTGCTCCCTCCCGGTCACCGCAGTCTCGGTGCACGCGGTCCCGTGGGTCAGAGCCCCGTTAGCGGTGATTTGCCTGCAGCGAAGGGCCCGGGGAGCTGCTTTCCAGCTCTTCCCACGGCTCCCTTCTAAGAAGCTTGTCAAGGCTGCGCTGGAGGCTGCAGCCCGGGGGGATGCTGTGGTTGTACTGGAAGCAGGGAGAGCCAGGAGTCAGCCTGAGCAGCAGGGCTGTGCCTCGGGAGGCATCTCGGCGGCTTCTGATAGCAAAGAGGGTTCAGCAAATGCCTGCCGCTCCCTCGGGATGGGCTTCCTCTGCAAACTTAGCATATTGCTGTTTTCTTTTTTAATTTTGATCTGCATGTTACAAGGCTGGCATGTCTACATTTATTAATAAGCTAATACTGCATTATGGATTATCCGTAGGTTGGAAACGGTATTGCCTTCTTCCCCTGGGCTTCTGATAGCAAAGAGGGTTCAGCAAATGCCTGCCGCTCCCTCGGGATGGGCTTCCTCTGCAAACTTAGCATATTGCTGTTTTCTTTTTTAATTTTGATCTGCATGTTACAAGGCTGGCATGTCTACATTTATTAATAAGCTAATACTGCATTATGGATTATCCGTAGGTTGGAAACGGTATTGCCTTCTTCCCCTGTTCTAAAAATCATTCCTTGCTTGAGAAATCGGCATTTTCAGTGACTTCTGCAGTGTGTTGAATAACTCTTGCTCTCCTTGCTGCACCGACAACTGCACACATGCGGCGTGCAGCCCCCGTGCTGCCCGCAAGGCTGGTTTCCCCAGGGGAGATCTGTGCCTTCAGTGCAGATAGTGGCACGGAGAAGTTTTCGACTCATTCATACCCCGACTTCACCAAGCATGAGGAAAACCTTCCCCCTGTTACCCAGGACCTCTGGGAGCTGCTCTGTGCTCCTTCGCCCCGCAGCTCTGCAGCCAAACTGACTTTGGTGGGACTGGTGGCGTCCTCCCCGCAAGCACGTGACTATGGCCGCGTCGACCAGCGTGTGTGCATGGAGCCGGCCAGCGGGCGCCGGAGGAGCTTTTGAAGCCTCTTCCCCTCCTGGCAGGACAGTTCGGGGTCGCTGCCTTGGCCGCGGGCTGCTGCTGGGTCGTGGTCGCTGGCCCCGGGGCGGCTGCCGAGGAGGAGCGAGGTCGGGAAC